TCAGGATGAGTAACTCGTCCCATGGGGGAGGCCCCAGGGCCCAGTGCCCGTGTCCCACAGGGCCCGTTGCCTTCATGCTACGGTGCGGGGGGGATGTGAAGAGAGCGTGGGCGTTGGGCTGTCAGAGAGGGTTCGGCGCGGGTGGCTTGCGGCAGTGTAGGGAAAGTGCGAAGGTTGGGAACAAGTGTGCGGGTAGATGGAGGAGGTGGCCCGAGCGGGGCCACATTCCCCCCGAGGAGGGGGAGTGATGGCGCCCCCGGCGCGGCTCTCAGAGTTGGGCGCGGTTGCCTGGTTCAATGCCGCCGTGGGGGCTTTATCCCCCCCCACGGCGGCCTGTGCCAACCGCGGCCCTTCTGGTCTCCCCTCCTGTCCCCCGGACAGCCCATCGACTGGGCCCGCAGTCTTCAGGAACCCCACGCTAAGCTCCAAGGCGCGTGAAGCAAGGCAGCCTCCGGGAAAAACCGAGAACGACTGCTGCGGGAGCTCCCTGAAAACGACCCGCTGGCGCTCTGGGAGAGCGGCGGCGTTGGCGCGCGGACGTTTCTCCAACCTCGACAACCAGGAGACCCTTTGCAGCCAGACGACCAGTACTTCGAGGTGAACCTCATGTGCCGGCTGCGAGCGCCAGTTTGCCCCGCCGGCTCGCGCTGCCAACGCCGACGACAAGACGGCACGCTGTGCGGAGAGCCCCTCGACCCACGCGGGTGTCATGCCAAGTCGTGCGAGGTGGGCCAGTCCCGCACCGCCCAGCACGACCGCCTCCGTGACCGACACGCATCCATGCATAAGGGTATCACGGGTCATGCTGCTCCGACGGAACAACGCGCTGCAGCGTGGGATCGCCGCCATCCCCGCACCGGGGTCCTCCAAAAAGCAAGGTTGGACATCCGGACACACGACCCCAGCACCGGTCGACCCATTTTTGTCGATTGGGTGCTGACCTGCGTACACTCCACCTACGCCCCACGCAGGCACGCCCGAGCCGAACGAGATGGACTCGCAGCAGCCCAGATGGTCGACGACAAACGCGGCCGGTACCCCCCCCCAGGAGGGCCTAGACCTCGTCCCGATGGTCTTCGAGACCAGGGGGCGGCCGTCCGACGAGGCCGTAAGCTTCGTTCGGAGCTACGGCGCCTCTCTTGAGGATGCCGACCGGTCCGAGCTCTTGAGCCGGATTTGGCGGGACATCTCACGCACCCTACAACAAGGGAGCGCGGAGATGATCCTGATCGCCCTCGGGAGATAGGCGCCGACCACCACCACCACCACCACGTGACCAACCACCAGCACGACCACTACCAGCCCGGCCGACTTTCAGGGCCACCGCCGCCAGTACGGCCACCACAACCGCCAACTGACTGACTACTAGCATCACCACCACCAGCACGACCACCACAGCAGTACCACAACAACCAGCCACCACGACCACCACCAGCACGACCACCACGACCACCACCAGCACGACCGCCACGACCACCTCGATCACCACCAACACGACCACCACGACCACGCCGACAACCGCCGCCGCCCCCTGTCACCCTCTCCCTTCCCCCTCCCTCCCCTTCCCCTGCCGGGCCGCCCCTGCCGTTGCGCCTTTTGCGCGACCGTCCCCTCCTCCTGCCCCCCCCACCCCCCCAATGCCCCTTGCGCGCTGGCTGGCCGGCACAGAGGGCGCGGGCAGCTTTCGGCCCGCGTCGCAGTCCAGGGCCTGCCTCAAGACGAGGCTGGCCCGGGGCGCGCTGGACCGTGAACGGTCCCCCTCTGGGTGGCCCCCAGAGAGCCAGTGGGGGCGCCATCCCCGCGACTGGCCGGAAGGGCGGGAGGGAGGGAGGGAGGGAGGAGGCGGAGGAGGAGGACGAGGAGCGTGGCGTTCCAGAAAGGGCCTTGCCTTGGAGGGTCGAAGGAGTTGTCATCTCTTCCGCGGCGGCAGGGCGGCGGAAGTAAAACCAGGCTGCCTCCGCTGGCGGAAGGCCGGCAGATGGCCCGCGGAAGGCGGCGGAAGTAAAAGAGCCTTCCCGAAGAGAAACCAGAGAGTAGTTGTTTGACGGCTCCGGGGTTCGGCAAAGGCCCCGTGAGGCCGAAAACGATGATTTTTGTACGACGCGACCATGTCTGGGAAGAGAGTTCAGGGCTTCAGGACTTCAGGAATCTGGCAGCCTCTGGCATGCATATATGCAGAGTCTTTTGTTCCTCTCGCGGCGGCGGCAGTGGCGGCGCTCCCCAGGACAGCGAACCCGAGGTCTGGCAGAGGGTGGCCGGCGAGCCCTGCTCCCCGTAGGGTCGGGAGCCTCGAGACAGGGGTCAACGCAAACGGGGGTCAGTCAGAACGCCGGACCCTGCAGGATCCGGCAGGGCCAGGCCTGGTCGCATTGATCCAGGCTTGAGAGCAGGATCCCGCCGGATCTTGCCCCAGACATGCGACCTCCCGATTATTTCAGGACGGCCACAAGACCCGACCCTTTCCCCGGGACCGGCTTTTCGTCCTGAGTCCTTTTTTTTGACGGTCCGGCCTCCCGGGGCCGAAACCAGCCCAAAGCCCCCCGTCCTGATTGACGCGATCATGTCTGGGGCAGGATCTTGCAGGATCCCGCAGGACCCTGCAAGGCCTGACTGGCCCAGGTGTGGATTGACCCAGGCCCGCGGCTCCCCGCAGGGTGCTCGCCTGGGGGGGGGAGGCCGGGGCCTACGCGTCGCGGGAGCGGCCAGCTCCGCGGGGCGCCGGCCTGTGTTGCCCCACGCCTGTCGCGGCGTGTCGCCTCTGCTTGTGGCCGCCCTCCTCCTCCTCCTCCTCCTCCTCCTCCTCCTCCTCCTCCTCCTCCTCCTCCTCCTCCTCTCCTCCTCCTCCTCCTCCTCGTCCTCCTAGTCCTCCTCTCATCCTCTTCTCCTCCTCCTCCTCCTCCTCCCCTCCTCCTCCTCCTCCTCCTCCTCCTCCTCCTCTCGTCCTCATCCTCCTCCTCCTCCTCCTCCTCCTCCTCCTCCTCCTCCTCCTCCTCCTCCTCCTCCTCCTCCCGTCGCGAGAAAAACACCACAGAAGAAGGTTCGTGGCAGTTTTCGGCTTCCGGGGGCCCTCACAGGGCTGTGGTCAAGCCCTGTCTCTTTGGGACTCTATGGGGATTCGCGACGCCGCGGGCAAAACCAGCGCGGCGCTGGAGCGCTGGGTCCTCGTGAAGAGCTGCATCGAGACCCAGACCCCCGCCGACCCTTAGAGGTCTGGACCCCTTCCCCGAGACCCGTTTTTCATCCTGATTCGTTTTTTGACGGTCCCGAGTGCCCGGTGAGGGCCCCCGGAGGCCGAAAATAGCGAAAAGCCTCCCGTCGCGATTTTGTTCCCAGCGCGAGGGGGTCTGGGGACATCGATGCTTCGAGATTCGAGGCTCGAGGGTGTCCCTTGAGGGCCTTCTCTTTGGCCTCCCTGTGGGTCCGCCCCGCAGAAGCTCCTGGAGCCTCGGGCAGCGTACCCCAGGCAGCGAGGGCCCCCGCCCATGGGCCGACGCTTGTCGGCCCCGCTCAGGCTCGAGGCCCTCGCAACGGTTGGACGGGCAGGGGGGGGGGGGGGGCAGGGCTCGTTTGGATTCCTCCGATTCGATTCGATTCGATTTCGACGGCTTCCGATTTCGATCCGATTCGACATCGGATTCCGATTTGGGATCCGATTTCTCAATGGAGGCCTACTAGCTTGCCGATGCCTGCCGATTCGACTTTTCCCGACTCGGCGGTCGATTTCCATCGATCCGATTCATGGCGATCGCCGAGCCGACTTGTCGATTCGATTCTGGGCTCTACTGGTTGGACGGGCAGGGGGGGAGGACATCGGGCGGGGCTGGACGTTTCAGGGCACCTTTTCTTATTGCATTACGTCCCGGTTGGACGGGCAGGGGGGGCTTGAGATCTGACTTTGCGAAAAAAGTGCACCATCGCCAAAAATTACGCCGGAGCCCTGGACCCCATCTTTCTGCATCATTTTTCGAGCCGGATCGAGTTGTGAGGGTCCCGGGGCCCGAAATTGAACGAAAACGCCCGTTGTGCAAGAATTGCAACGCCAGGATCTCAAGGGGCGGAGGCATCGGTCGGCTAGACGCAACCCCAGAGATCCGAGGATATGATGTTTTCAATCTGGTGTTTTTTCACGGATTTCGGCCTCTGGGGCCCGTTATCGGGCCCCGGGACGATCAACAATGGATTTGGGATGAAAAACCACCCCCAGGGAAGGGGTCGAGACCTTTGGGGCCGCGGATTGAAGAATCATATCGGCGAATGGCTGGGACCGAAGGCTCGACCAGAAAACAAACGACACCACCCCACCTACGGCCCTCGGTGTTTCAACTACACGTAAGAGTGACCTTCCGCCAGAGTGACCTTTGGTGCGGGCCCATCGGGGTCCCCCCATCGCCGAGCGCGAGCGTCTTGCGCGCTTGCGTTTGGTCTCCCCGCGGCTCCCCCCAACGCCGCGCACCAAGGGCCACTCCTGCCCAGGGTCACTCCTGCGTGTAGCCGAATCCGGCGGGGCTAGGACGAGGACAATCTCATCGGCAAGTGTCAGGGTCCTTCTCCTGTCGCCAAGTGAGCGACGAAAGAAAACGGGGTCGTCTTCACCGACACTGGCGCGTAAGGTGCCCGCGGCAACTCGCGCGTAAGCGCACTCGCTCCCAATGTAACGTGCCGCGCTGGCGGCCCGTGTAAGCCGCCGCGTAAGGTCGCTGCGCCATCTCGCGTATGTCCCGTTTTTGATCGTCGCTCAAGCCCAGACCCCCGACGTCATGATTTTTTCATAACGTCGGCCTGCAGAGGTCTCGACCCATTCCTCTGGACCGGTTTTTCATTCTGACTAGTTTTTTGCTGGGTCCGAGGGCCGGCAAGGGCCTCCAGAGGCCGAAAAGAAGGAAAAACCTCCCGTCATGATTTTTTCATTGCCGGAGGGGGTCGGGGAGTCTGGATCTCTCTCAGGGGGGTGGTTCCTGGCAGCGTCGGCAGCCCTGCGACGCCGTCCGCCCCGGCCCCAGGAGACCCTCCAGGACATGTCCGACACGCAAAAAAAGCTGACATAACCCAGACATGCGACGTCTTGATTTTTTCAGGACGGCGTCCCTGGAAGTCCCGACCCTTTCCCCGGGACCGGCTTTTCGTCCTGAGTCGTTTTTGGACGGTCCCGAGGCCCGGCGAGGGCCCCCCGGGGCCGAAAATGGCCCAAAACCTCCCGTCCTGATTCTGTTGCGACGCGATCACGTCTGGGAACCGAGCGGAAATCACGGACGTTTGCCTCCTCTCCTCGTCGCCTGCGGTGGGTATTGCCGAGGCCCCGCCCCGCGACGCCTGCCACGGGGCGCGCCGTCTCGCAGCGGCGCCTGCCACATGGCGCGCCGCTGCGCGCCGGCCAGGGCTTCACCCGGCCGGCCCGCGCGGCCGTTGCGGTGCGCCTCGCGGGAGAACACGTCGGTCAGGAGAGGAAAAAACACAGACACAATCAATCCTCGATTTTCCAGAAAATATGGGAAAATATGGGAAGTGGGGGGGAAGACAGAAACCCAGAAAATATGGGAAAATATGGGGAATATTTTTATTTGTGTGTATTTATTTGTGTGTCCTGGAGCCCCTTCAGTCGGACGGGGCTCGTTTCGACCTCGCCGATGCGATGCGATGCGATTCCGATGGATTCCGGGTCCGATTCGATTCGGTTGCGGATTCCGATCCCGGCTCCGGCTGCTCCATGGAGGCCTGCGGGCCTGCCGAGGTCTACCGATGCGATTCGGGGCTCTCCCGGAACACGTCGGACGGGGCCAGGGTGAGGTCGGGCACGTCCCTCTGCAGGAGGAGTATTCCCAGACCCCCATCGCGTCATGAAAAAATCACGACGGGAGGTTTTCGGCCATTTTCCGCCTCCGGGGGCCATTGCTGGGCTTCGGGATTGGACCTCCTCCATGGGCTCCCCCCTGACCCTGTGGCCCTCGACCCCGTCCCCGATGTGCTCCCTACGCGTCTGAGTGCGTTGACTACTTCGCCTCCGGGTTCCTGTCCATGGCGTTCCTTTGCATGCATTTCGCTTTCGGCACCGCCTGATCCCTGGGCTTTGCCCTCTCTTGGCCTTGACGTGAGGCCCCGCCTTCTTCTTCCCTTCCTCTGTTAATTACACTGTGCGCGGCCCGCTTAGCTTCGACCGGAAGAGGCTCCTTTTCGACCCGCGAATCAAAAAGTGAGTGCGTTGAGACCGAAGCGCCTTGTGGACGGTGCACCGTCTACGCCGACGGTTCGGAGTTGTGTAACAACAGCCCCGAGCTCAGACGGTGCAGATGGTCCGTCGTGGAGTTGGGGCCTCGAGGGTTCCCCGTTCGTGCTCGGCATGGGGGCCTCCCTGGTCGTTTGCAGTCTGTTCCTCGGGCTGAGCGGTTTGCGATCTATCAGGCGCTTCGAGTTAGCCCCTTAATGTGCACGTTGTCTCCGACCACCTGAGCGCTGTCAAGGAAAGGAAGGCATGGGACCCCCTTCAGGCCTCAAGTGGCTCGCGACACGCTGGCATTTGGAAGGCTGCTTTTGCTTTGTACCCCCTCCCTGGGTCGAGACCGCCCTTCGAGTGGACTCCGTCGCGCAGAGATTGGGAAGATGTGGTTGCTACCGGGACCGAGTCTGAGGCGATGATTTTTTTAGGGGATCTCTGGGCTGATTTTTTCGCCCGCCTGGGGGCTGGGTCGCACGCCGCGGCCAAGTCCCTTGAAGAAGTGCAGTCGGGCGTTATTGCCACGACGAAACTCACGTTCGATTTTCTGTCCAGGTTCGCGCAGTCGATCGCCGCGGTTGCTCAAGAGCTGTCGACCCCGTTTTCCGAGCTGCTGGTCCAAGGGCCCCGTCCTGCTCCTCGGGTTGCGAATCTTGTGCTGTCTCAGCATGACGTCTTTCATTTCCCGTCGCTCATCGAGTGGCGGTGTCGAGCGTGCAACCTCGTTCGGACGCCCTCGTCCCTGGCTCAGTTGCTTTCTGGCTCTCGCAGAGTCTGTGGTCCGACACCGTACCAGGCTTGGCAGGCGCAGGCGCAGGCGGTGTTCGCCTTGCGAGTCGAGCAAGGTATCCTGGCCCCAGAGGGCGCGGAGAGAGTCCTGAGGCCAGCTCCTCTTGTCCAGGCGCCGCCCGTCGCAACCCTCACCGACCGTTTCGTGTCCCTGGGCCACCAACTGGAGAAAACGCGCCAGTGGATGGCCTTGAATACACATCAGGGGGGGTGCTCCCAGACCCCCCCCCCTCCTCCCCCTCAAAGGGAGGGTGCGACTTTCGACCCCCCCCCCCTCCCCCCCTTGGCGCTGGAAGGGGGGGGGGGTTCGACCCCCACCCCCCTCCCCCCTTTGCGCAGAACAGGGGCTGGGGAGGGGGAGTAGCGGGTACTTGATAGTGAGTAGTGCGCAGTGAGTCGTGAGTAGCGAGTAGCGGGTAATGGGTAGTGGTAGTACTGAGTAGTGCGTAAGGATGAGTAAGTAGCGAGTAGTAGGTACTGAGTAGCGGGAAGGAAGTAGAGAGTAAGGAATTATGAGCAGTGGGGAGTGAGCAGTGCGTAGAGAGAGTAGTGCGTAGTGAGTAGCAAGCAGGGAGTCGGGATGAGGGAGTAGACAGTAGCGGATAGTGAGTAGTGGGTAGTGAGTAGAGAGTAGTGGGTAGTGCGTGGTGCGTAGCGGGTAGCGGGTAGCGGGTAGCGAGTAGCGAATAAGGTGTAGCGAGTAGTGTGTAGTGAGTAGTCAGTAGGGCCTTGTGAGTAGTGAGTTGTGAGGAGGGAGTAGTCAGGAGTCAGTAGTAAGTAGTGAGTCGGGCGTAGTGCGTAGCGAGTAGAAAGTAGCGAGAAGTGCGTAGTGAGTAGTGGGTAGTGAGTAGGGAGACGTGAGTAGTGAGTAGTGACTAGGGAGAAGCGAGAAGTGGGTATTGGGTAGTGGGTAGAGTAGGAAGCTGCGGGTAGAAATTTGCGAGTAGTGAGTAGTGAGTCGTGAGTGGTGAGGAGTGAGTAGTGAGTAGCGATCTGCGACGAGTGACTAGGAAATAGGGAGTAGGGGGTAGTGAGTAGCGAGTAGTGCGAGGTGGGTAGTGGATACTTCGCATTGGGTAAAGGGGTAGCGGATGGTGTGTAGTGTGTTGTGGGCGGTGCGTAGTGAGTAGTGAGCTATGAGTATTCAGTAGTAAGTAGTGGATAGTGGTTAGTAGGTAGTGAGTATTGCTTAGTGAGTAGTGAGTTGTGGGCAGTGAGTACTGTTAATGAGTATTGAGTACTGGGTAGTGAGTAGTGAGTAGTGCGTTGTGAGTAGGGAGTAGGACGTAATGAGTAGTGAGTAGTGGGAGCGCAGTGAGTAGTGAGTAGTGGGTAGTGAACAGTGCGTATCGGGTAGCGAGTAGGGCGTTGGGATGAGCGAGTAGTGATTCGTGAGTATTGTTTAGGGAGTGAGGAATAGCCAGTAGTGGATAGTGAGTAGTGAGTTGCGGGCACTGAGTAGTGAGTAGTGAAGTGTGAGTAGTGGATAGTGGTTAGTGGGTAGTGAGTAGTGGGTTGTGATTAGTGAGTAGTGCGTTGTGAGTTGTGTTTAGTGAGTAGTGAGTATTGAGTATTGGGTAGTGAGGACTAAGTAGTTTGTAGTGAGTAGTGAGTGGGGAGTAGGGAGTAGTAAGTAGTGGGTCGTGGGTAGTGAGTAGTGGGTCGTGAGTAGTGAGTAGTGAGTAGTGAGTAGCGAGTAGTGAGTTGTGGGTCGTGAGTAGTGCATAATGACTAGTGGGTGCTGTTTGGGGCTAGGGTTCGGGGTTAGGGTTAGGGTTGGGGTTTTGGGTAAGGGTGAGGATTAGTGTTGGGGGTGGTCGGGGTTGGGTTCCGGATTCCAGGGGCGCCGTGGCGAAAGGGGTGGGTGGGTTTGAATTTTTGTCGCTGGTAGTGGATTGGGACTGTTGTACCTTCCGCATAGCGTTAAATCATGTCTTGATGGTCGCTTGCGTCCGCATCCATTCGCGGCTGTCTCCTGGGCTGGCGTGCCTGGTTCGGTTCGACACCACGAACTCCACGCCTTTGGGCTGTGTGGGTGCGTACTCTGAAGCTGCGACGGTTCGCTGGCGCTGTCAGAGCTAACCTTTCGTACGGGATGCCAACTGACGACTGCTCTTTTGTCTTTCGGTTGGTGCTTGTGCATGGCAGGTCCCCTGGATCCCCTTGCACTTCATTCCCGCCGAGGTTGGGGACCTCCTCCTGTTCAGTTAGTGTCGCAGGCTGCTTTTGTTCTGTTGGACTGACACGGTTGGGGGCTTGCATCGCGCCACTTTGGCAGCGTAATTACTTATCCCTGGGTGCTGGGTCCCCATCAGACTCCCTGGGCAGCAGCACCCTTGCACCCGCCGCTCGGCGCCGGCCGCGGTACACGCGCGCCTCCGGCCAATTTGTAGCGGCCGCAGCCCGACCGTTACCCGCCGCCGCTGGCGCTTCCGCCCGCGGCTGTAAACAAAAATCCCCACCAGCTTCTCTGGTTTGCGGCTATCGGCTGCGCCCCCCCCTTCTTCCTTCACGACGACTGCAGTGGCGGGCCCCTCGACCACCACCTGCGGGTGGGCCCAGGTAAGGCACACTCCTGCACAAGTGGTTCATCCTTTGGCAGGCCCAGCCATTCCACGACGGGCCCGTCCCGCTGCACGACGCCGACGACCTTCCCCCCTGACACGCCCCGGGCAACGCTCTGTTGGGTCCTCAGCAGTCTGTGCCGCCTGGCCCACCTGTGCCTCTCCTTCTTGTATTCACCAGATTTGCGGCTATCGGCTGCGCCCCCCCCCCCTCCTCCACGCACGTTGTGGCGCTGGTCACGCCAGTCGGCTTCCCCCCAACTGTGCCACGTCTTCGCGCCTGCCCCGAGGTGGTCATTCCTTCCACGCGGCAGGTTGCGCCCGCTGGGGCACTGGCAGGTGGGCCGTGGAGGCTGGCTTCCTGTACAAGTGGTGCATCCTTTGGCAGGGCCGCGTTTCCTCTTGGCAGGCGTTCTCCGGCTCCCGGCTATGCCAGCGACGTCGGCCCCGTCCTTTGGTAGGATTTTTCGCTCGCGGACGCCATCGACGCCCTGCCCTTCTGCGATGTTCAGGTGGTGCACACCTGCCCGCAGTCCCCCCCAGGCGGGGCCTCTGAACGCTGGTGGGTAGTGCCGCCGTGGTCCCACGCGACGCCCCCCCCGTCCACGGACGCATGGAAGTTGCCACTCGGGACTCACGCCAAGACTACCGACGCCTGGTTCAGTGACGACCTGTCCTCGAGCACGTGGTGCTCTGTAAGTGAGGTTCCCTTTGCCCCCCTGTCCCTCTCCTTCCCCCCTTCTTTTCGTTCCCTCTCTCTTCTCTTCCCCCCTTTTTCCTGCGCCTGCCTGCCTCTGCCTCGCCTGTCCGCGTTTGGCGGTGCACCTTCTGGGGCCCCGTGCTGCCCGCAGTGTCTCTGCCTTCGCGCCGGCCCGTGCCGTGGAAG